CCCGAGGAGCTCAATTATAATGAGGCTCTTTATAATTGAGAGATTTGCCCAGGCATCTATTAAATAGATTATTGTACCCAGCGCCCAGCCCCCTGGGGCCCCACTGCAGCGAGAAGGAGCAAACGCTTCTAAACAGACAGGTGGACCGCCAGAGACTTCGGGCCCGTCCCCTCTGGTGACCCGCCTTCCCTAAGTTGCTAAGCGCTTGGTGAGGGGGCACCCAGAGGAAGGACAGGCGCGGCCAGCCCTGACTTTGTAAGTTGTCCGGCTTTAAAAAATGACACACAAGGACGTCGCAGGAGGGGAGGGGCTGCTCGGTCAAGGTCATGCCAGGATGGCATCGAACTCTCACCAGACAGCGCCCCTCCCAACAGACCCACAGAAAGCTGGATTCCCCTGCTCAGTCCTCGGTCTACGAATTCTCCCCATCACCGTGAGATACGAAAGCGGCTTTCGCTTTTATGGCTGAGGAAACCGGGGCACAGATCAACGAGCGAGCGCTGTGCGGCCAAGGTCAAACGAGGGCGGTCTGCCTCCAGCACTCGGGGAGCGTCGAGCGTGCTAAAAGGCTAACTGGCCCTGGGTGGCGGCCACGGCTAACTCTGGACTATGATGCAAGAGCAAACAGGATCGTTTCCTGAGCGAGTTCTGTCCCCCTGGTGGGGCCCGAGCTCAGGGGCCCGAGACCGGGAATCGTGCGCTCCACCGACTGAGCCAGCCGGGTACCCTTCAACAAAGGGTTTTTTTAAAATAAAGATTCAGGATTTAGAAAAATATTTTTGTTTTTCTATTAGATTATCGTGTATGGAATGTCAGCTTTGGAGCTGGGGAACTGACCCGGCTTCTGCTGGCATTGAGGAGACATGTAGTGATTTCATTTCACTGTTTTTAACTCCCTTGGTGACAGACGTTGGTATTCTCAAAAGGACACGGACAGACTTGGCTCCAAGTCAGGTGCTAGAAGTGGTCGAGCTGGGTCTGGTGGCCTCCTCGCAGCCAGGGGGGCTCCGGGACCCCCGAGCCCCGCCTTGGCACGCAGCGGCAGCTCCGGGCCTGTGTCCCTGCCCCCTGCCAGAAGGCATGTCCAGGGGCTGGCGCCGGGCCAGGCCCTGGGAAGCGCTGCATGAGCGACTGACAAAAATAAATGAATGAGCAAATGGACGGCTCTTCGGGGAGAGTCTGGAGGCCAGGTCTTCACTCCCGAGGCTAGAAGGGCATTTGGGGGCATCCTCAAGGCCGAGCCTCGTAACCCCATGCCCAGCTGTTCGGGTCCCAGGTGGCTCCCCAGGCGGCCTCCCCTCTGCAGCCCTCCACGGCCACAGCCTCCCCTCTGTCCAGCCTCCGCCCCTCCGAGTGGCCACCGCCAGACGTCCCTCCAGTACGAGCCGCGGGTGATGTCCAAGCTCAAGGGCAGCGGGAGGAAGAGCGGGTTCCTCTGAGCCTTGCCGTAGAGCCTACACAAACACAAACAGAGGAGGGGAGGGAGAAGGGGACTCTTAGCGGTCAGCAGCCAAGGGCTCGGGCCGCTGACCTGCCCCTGGCAAGCTTTGTGACCTCGGACAAGTCACTTCTCTCTTTGGGCCTCGGATCTCACTCACGTCTGAACCAAAGAGGCTGTGGCTTTGCGCCTGTGAAGGGCCTTCCAGACCCAGGCTTCTCCTGCCCACAAGCTGGGCCACAGGGGGCCAGAGGGGAGGTGCTTCCGGGGCCTGGTGCCCACGTGGCCCGGGGGGCACAGGGACCAGACACAGACACAGCTGGGGCTCGGGCTCCTGGCCCAGGGCCGGTGGGGGAGGGTGGATAGCACCGGACATTTCGAGTGCCCACTGGTGGCCCTGGGCCTGTCCAGCAACCATGCGACCTTAGGCAAGCCACGCCCTCTCTCTATGCTGTTTACTCGTCTGTAAGCAGCTACTGTGGTCTCACCCTCACGGTCTACTTGTCCGTGAGACAGAAGAGCCAAAAAGCCCGTGGCCCAAGTGGAGGAGGGGGGCGGCCAGTTTCTGCGCAGGCCTCACGCCACGCGGGGTTTCCCACGAGCTGCGTCCGCCAGGGCCCAGGGCCACGTGAGCCAGCGTGGCGGGCCAGTGTGGCCCATGGGAGGCTGACCTTGCACAGGGGACTAACCCTTTCCTCTCCACGGTGCACGCCCTCACTTTCCGCCTGTCCTGCCCCAGCCTGACGACCTGCCCCTCTGACCCTCAGCAGACAGGTCACGCCCCATGCAGGGGGGCGCCCCCTCCTTCAGGCCCAGTAAGGTTAAGAGCCTGATGCCGGTCGGAACTTCTCCAAGGGGTCTGACTAGGGGGGCAGGGGGATGCACAAGCAGGGAGCTGTGGGTGACCTGCTGGGAGGCGCCAAGCCCAGCTGCCTCCCCCTCTCCACCCCACCCCTGCAGGACCAGCTCTGTCCTTCCTCGTCCTTTGCCAGAACTGCAGGGGACGCGGTCAGCCACCTGCCCCGGGGCCGGGAAGCCCCGTGTGGCCTGGCTTTCCCCTGGTCTGTCCCACCCAGGCCTGGGGCGCTCGAGCTCCAAGTTGGCCGCACTGCCTCCCTCCCGGCTGCTGGCCGACTCCCCGTAAGCACCCGTCACACCCCTGCCGCCAGCTGCACTGCACCCACACCCAGGTGCCCATGGCAAAGCCCTCCTTAGACTCGCAGGTGGGCCTGTGGGAGTCCGGTGAGCATGAACTTAAACATGTGGCCACAGGCCGTTCCCCCTCCCCGCGCCTCCCCTCTGTCCTCATCCCAAATCCTCCTGTCCTTCAAAGTCCAGGTCAAAGGCCAGCCTTCCCTCCTCTTCAGGCTCCGCGTGGACTCCTCTCTGGCACCGCGAACAGAGAACTTGTAAATTCTACCGCGTGAAACCCATCGAGCTAGCCTGGGGGGGCAGGGGGGACACCGGGGGCTGCACAGGGTGCGCAGAATGAGATGCAAGCCAGCACCCCGCCCCCAGCTCCTGCCTCGTGGTTTGGGAAGGAGTGCCCTCTCCTCCCGTGGTCCTAGCTCCCAGGGCCCGCTCCCTCCTCAGAGAATCACGCTTCCTGGCGGTACTCTGCCCTATGGGAGTGCTCCGGTGTCCACTGTGCTGATGGGGGAGCTCACCGCGAAAGCAAGGGGGCACCTGGCCTGAGGCCCACAAGGTGGGCACCGGTGGCGACCGGAGACTGGTTTTCCCATCAGAGCTTGCTCAGACCAAAGGTCTGGGAAGGAGAGACCTGGGCAGGGCCTCCATCGGGCCCAGATTGAAGAGGAGGGGGTAAGTGGGGCGGGGCCTCTTCTGGAAGCTGAGGGGGGAAGGGGCAGCTCCTCAAGCATCAGCAGGCAGGTAGCCCAGGGGTAAGATGGGGGGAGGGGCTGCTGTCGTAGGGGTGCAGGACCAGGCAGGCCAGCCCCCCCTTGCCCCATGAGCATGTGGAGGGGGAGGGGCCAGGAACCCCTGCATCAGGGTGGCCCCAGGAGGTCCCCCAGGCAACAGCTGGCCAGCCTGGCAGAGGTGGCTGGGAGAGCGTCTTGGGAGGAACATATGCCCCTGACCTTCAAGGAGCTTATGGGGGACGGGGAGGGGGGTAGAGTGAGGGGCAGGGACGGGAGGCAGCAGTGGCAGACACGGGCACAGATGAGAAGTGAGTCTGGGGACCAGCCAAAGGAAGCAGGAGGCACCCCTGACTCAGGAGATTCCCCATGTGGCCCCTGCCCCTGGGGCTGAGCTCTTGGGGGGGGAGGAGCGGGGGCAGGGAGGGCAAGGTCTCAGAGAAAAGGCCAGAAAGGCCTAGAGCTTGAACCGAGGGGTCCAGACCAGACCCTGGGGAGCCACACAGGGCTGGGGCAGAGTCCAGGGGGTCTGCCCCCAGGTTCCCCCACCCCTCACCCCTGTGGGAGGGGGGTGCCCCCCACTCTAGCCCCCCTTGGCTCATCTCTGCCTGCTGGCCCCATGACAGAGGGCGCATCCTGTGACCTGGACACTGGTATCCCCCTCTGCCAGAGCTGCTGTGGGTCCACAGGGGTGAGGGAGAGGGGCCTCAAGTCCTGTGTCCTGTGATGGGTGTGAGGGTCACTACCCAGGCAGCCCAGACATGGGGTGACCAGTGCCCAGTGCCCCTGGCGCCCTGACCTTCCCCAGCAGACCCTTTGGGCTCATGGCTCCCCTTTTCTCCCAGATGCAGCAGCTGCGGAGACTTCCGGCTCAGGACTCCTACTCCCTGAGGGGGTAAGAAAGGGCAGGGGGCCTGGGGGCCCTTCCCCGCCTCCCCGAGACTTTGTGATGCTTTTCAGACCCTGAAAAGCCCCCAAGCATCCGCAACCTCTGGGAACCCAGGGAGGCCAGGCTGTGCCCCCTCCCCTAATTCCCCGGGGTGAGGAATCTGGCCTCCCTTCTAGCCCGAACCCTCGCCCTGGAAACCCAAGGTGACGAGTCAGCTGTGCAGGCAGCGTAAATTCTGAGCACCTGCAAGAGGTGACGGATGTGAACAGGATAAAATAGGTGTCCCAAGAGGGGACGAGGGTCCAGAGGGGAGGAGGGTCCGCAGACGGAACGGCCGTTCGCAGAGCCAGGAGGCCAAATGCAGGCCTGGCCGGGGACCAGCTCATGTCTGCTCCTCCCAACCCCCTCCCCGGAAGACTCAGGCCCCAGCCCCCGCCCCCCGCCCTCTGCCAAGGAGGAAATTCTTCCTTAGGTCTAACTGGGGTCCCTCCTGCTGCCGATGCGGCTCCACGCGCTGTGACGCCTCCTCACACAGGGTGGGCTCCTGGTTCAGTGCCCAGCCGGCAGCCCGCAGGGGCCCATGGGCTCACAGGCCTCGGGCGGCCAGCGGTCCCTCCGGAGCCCCAGCCGCAGCCGCCCTCCCCTTCCCAAGCCCTGCGGGAGGCCAGGTCCTGCAGCAAACGTGGAGCCAGGGCGCCACCTAGTGGCTCCACAGCCCGGAGCCTGGGCGTCCTCTGCCGGCTCCTCGCACCCAGGATCCCTTGAGCAACAGCTTGAGTGCCACGTACAGAAAAGGCATTTTGCTTACATTGCTTTATTTAATTCCCCCCCGCCCCCCACCAATCTCTTTGTTTGAGGATCAGAAACCCACGCCTCCTGCCCGAGATCTCTCAGCCAGGACTTGAGCCCGAGGCTCACACTGCAAACCCATGTCCCTCGGCAGCTGTGAGCTCCAGCCCCGAGGGCCAAGGCTGGTGCAGAGGGTGAGGTGGGGGACAAGGCGGGTGTCCCCTGGGCTTACACGCCAGCCCAGTGACAGAGCCCCCAGCCAACGGCATTTTCCCAGGTCTGAGTCTTCAGTTCCCACGAGGAGGTGGGGCCCCTTCAGCTCCTGGGGACGGCTGCTTCCAGACGTAACGACACCCCAGGGAGAGCCCTCATGCTGGGCCTCCCGCCAGCACCAGCCCCGTCCCAGGGGGCACAGGCCAGTGTGTGCAGCCAAGGCGCCCCTCTGGGGGCACATGCGTGCGAGGATGAAGGCTCTCTGGCAGCAGAATCAGAATCCCAACCCCCCTCGCTCCCCCCACCCTGCCCACGGGCCCCCAAGCATTTGCACAGATTTGCATAGACAGCAAGGCAGGTCCAGCTAAAGCCTTTTCTTAGCAGAAGTGGCATCGGTGGAAGCCTGCGTGACTGCCTCTCTCCTGAGGAACTAGAGAAGATGACAGTTCAACGGTCCCCAGGGTTAGGGGGCACCAGGCCTCAGCCCCTCCCTGGGCTCCGAAAGTGTCTGTCCTTCTTCCCTGACCTGCGGGGAGACCGGGCGGGGGCCGGAGGAGGCCTTCAGAACCACGCCGCGTGGCGAGGGGCTTCCTGTGGCAGCGGGGACCGTCCCCCTAAGGCGCCCACCACATCCAGGGACACCCCCTCCCCCCAGCGCGAGGGCCCCGCCGGGGAGGCAGGAAGGCGGGGAGCCTCCTCAGCCCTGGATGGAAGTACTCAGGAGGCAAGGTTCCCCCCGGCCCGAGGCAGCCCCAGGACCACCGTGGGGCGAGCACAGGCCCCCTGACCTCGGGGGAAGGCAGGAGCGTCTCTGGATGCTGCTCTAAGAGCAGCCCGCTGTGGATTACGAGTGGCTCAAACTAAGACTCCAACTCAGGACGCCCTCCCGTCCCCCCGGCCCCCAGCTGCCCACCTCTTTTTCAGTGCCTTGTCTCCAAAGAAGTGGCTGAAGATGAAGCCCTCAAAGTCATCCACCTCATCGTCATCACCCGTCTGTCTCACTGCCGCCTCTTCCAGGCTGTCCTCCAAGGCATCCACAAAGTCCCGGAAGCGGAGGCGGTCGTGGCGGAAGATGCCATCCTCGCCGAAGTAGGCGGGCGAGAGCGGCAGCTCCTGGCTCAGCGGCCCGGCCCAGGGCAGCCGCGCCAGGTAAGCAGTGAGCAGAGAGGCCAGCTCCTGGAGCCGCACGGGGGCCAGCTCCACCCCGAAGGCCAGGCCCTCCTGCCGGGCACACTCACGCACGCCCGCGCAGCCCTGGGGCGCCCGGTACCTGCGCCTCGACAGCTCTGCCCAGGGAGCCGGGGGGTCACGGCCCTCGTTAGCGCCCTCCCTCCGCTGGGGGTGCTTCTGCCGCTCCACGGAGGGGTGAGGGCCCCCACTCTTCCTCGGGGGCTCCTTGGGGCCCGGCCGCTTGGCGTCCTTCCTGCTGCCCCACTGCGCGCCCCCCGGCTCGCCCTCCCCCCACCCCCCTGCCGCCTCCCTGTCCTCACCCCCCCGGCCCTTCCTTCTCTCCCCACCAGTCCCCCCCTTCCCGTACTTCCCGGGCTCGGCTTTCCGGTCCCCCTGCCCTTCCCGCCGCGCCTCCTTTCCACTCCGCTCGCTGGCACTCTGGGCGCGGGGCTCCGGGCGCCTGGCCTCCGAGGCGTTGGCAGCCGCCCCGGGGCGCTGGCCCCCCGTCTCCAGGGCCCCTCGGCCCGCGCCCCGCAAGCTCTGCTCCAGGTCCTGCCGCTGCCGCCCCAGCTCGCGCTTCAACGCCCGCTGCTCCCCGGGGACCCCGCCGGCCGGGGAGCCCCTGGCCCCGCCGACGCACGCCCCGTCGGGGCCCCGCGCGCGGTCGGCCCCC